CCCGATGCAGGGAGGGGGGACATGGGCTGCCTTGACAACCTTCCGGGCCCCTCATACCTCCGCTTCGTCGAAAGGGGTGACGGAACCGGGGGTACTTCTCTTTCAGGTATAACAGGAAACACAGCTTGCCGCGAGCACATAATTGGCTCGGCGCCGCGGCCGTCGAACCTGGGCGGGACCACCGCCATGGCGCTAGCGGCGCTAACCTAAACTCTCCAAACGCTTTCCTTTTCCCCTACCCTTGGCGGCCGATCGCATTCTGCTTCCCCTTGCTGCATCCTTGATGCAGGGAGGGAAGGCAGGGGCCGCTACAGCAATTTACCGGGCCCTGCGCCCCTCCACTCCCCGCGACAGGGTCGACGGAACCGGGGGTATATTTATTTCTAGGTCCGCAGGGGAGCAGTGCGGTGTAGGCATGGCTCTGACCATCCTCCACTGTGACCCCCCTCTTTTCATTTTCTTTTTCTTCCTCTACTTCTTCTTGTTCTTCTTCCTCTTCTCGCCTCTCTTGAGGCAGCGTGCCTGAAGGGCCGCCGGGTTGGGAGGTCCCGACATACCCCCCAATTACTTATCAATCATGGGCTGGTCTAAATTAATCGTTACCTGCGGCGGGTCGATAACGTCGCGCCGGCATGGGGGGGTTGTGGTCCCAGGCCCCCCCAGGTCGTCATCGAGTGATGGGTCACGGGATGACTTACAAGCCGGCGCGTCTGCGGCGGGCGCGCCGGTGGCTAGGGCTACCGCCGTTGAAGCTTCGCCTCAAGGTCGCAGCCTTCGTGCTGTCTCGGTTAGGCTGATTAGGTGCGACGAAATGCCCACGCCGGGTCGAGTGTGGCAAAGTACAGTAGGAATCGGTGTAGGGTCCGCGTCCGCGTTCGCGCCTGCGTCCGCGCTCACGAATGGCGATCGCTCGCTCGCAATGTCCCCTTAAATAGTTTCTATCGATTCCTCTCCATTGTTAAGATCCACGGGTATTAGGCTTATGCAGCTGAACATGAGGCGTTCAGCTGTGGTTAGTGGCGAAGTCCGTCAGCTCGTAGCCGAGAAGCGACTAGACGTCCTGCTCTTGCAAGAAATGCACGTCCGGAAGCAAGGCTCGAGCTTCGCCATTCTCGGTTTAAGGCAAGGAACGAGGGTTGCCGCTGCACGCTCGGAACTTCCGTGGGCTGCAGTGGCAGTTTCAAACCCCTCGTTTCATATCATGGAGATCTCGCAGCTCAGA